TTCCATACAGTTGACACCCTGATCTGCAGTGAAGGATCTTAACTTCAATGTTGTTTAGGTTCTAATTATTGACATCATCATAGATGTATTATTCTAACCAAAGGTACAATGGAAATCTCTCTCACACAAACATTGCGAGGAAATGAACAAGTAACAAGAGGCTTGAGATGAAGGTGAGGGATGGCAGGACTTTCTGGAGTTATATCTCAAGAGAAGAAAAAAAAATGCAACAGTTTATTTGTATCTATCCCAGAGGAGCCATTCTTCAAGTTAGTTGAGTAAACGTTTCTTGAATATAGTTACCAAATGCAGACACTGCACCTCGACCTGCTGGGCTCTGGCAATCCTTCCGTCTCAGCCTTCCGAGTAGCTGGAACTACAGGCACGCGCCACCATGCCCAGCTAATTTTTTGATTTATTGTAGAGATGAGGTCTCGCTAAGTTGCCCAGGTGGGTCTCGAACCCATGTTCTCAGGCAATTCACTCACCTCAGCCTCCCAAAGTGTGGGATTACAGGCTGAGCCACTGAGCCTGGCTAGGATGGATATTTCTTGTTGATGGATTGAACCTTGTATTATTATGTAGTATCCTTCAGTATCTTTTAAAATTTTTGATAACTTAAAGGTTGTTTTGTCTGATTTTAAGATTGGGACTCCTGTCTTCTTTTGTGATCCATTCACCTGGAAATTCGTTTTCCAACCTTTAACTTTGAGTCTGTGTGCATCCCTTGTTGTGAGATGAGTTTTCTGGGTGCAGCAAATTATTGGGTCATGGATTTTAGCCAGTTTGTCATTCTGTGTCTTTTCAGTGGTGGATTTAGTCCATTGACGTTCAGGTTGATTATTGAAATGTGATTGTTTATCTGTCATGAGGTTCCTATAAAGTTTTTTCTTTGTTTGTTTGTTTTCTTTTAACTTTTGGGTTGATGTATGTGTGTGTTTTCAAGTTTGCAGTTGCGATGTATTTTCTGTTGATTCTGTGTTCTCCTGTTCTCTTGAGAAGTGTGTGGTTATTCTTTTTTTCTTTCTTCTGTGCTTAATACTTTTAAGCATCTCCTGTAGAGCTGGTCTGGAAGCTGCATAATTTCTTAGGGATTGGATGTCTGGGAAGGATTTAGTTCTCCATTGCTGATGAAGCTGAGCTTGGCTGGGTATGTAATTATTGGTTGAAATTGTTTATCTCTGAGGACTTTGAATATTGGACTCCAATCCCTTCTAGCTTGTAGTGTTTCTGTTGATATTCTCATTGGTTTTCCCTTTTTCCCTTGCTGCCTTTAGGATTTTTTCTTTTGTGCCTACTTTGTGTAGGTGAATTACTATGTGTCTAGGAGGTGGTCTTCTCATTAGATATCTTGCAGCATCTCTTGTGTTTGGATGGTCATATCTCTGCTGAGATGAGGAAAGTTTCCTTGGATAAACTCCTAGAATATTTTCTCCAAGGTGTTCTCCCTTTCCCTTTCTTATTCTGGGATATCAATCAGGCATAGGCCTCTTGATATAATCAAACACCTCTTGGATGCTGTGCTCTTTCTGAATTCTCTTTCTATGTTTTTTACAGATCAGTTTAATTCCATGTTTTGGTCTTCAAGTTCTGAGATTCGTTCTTTTGCTTGATTAATTCTGCTTTCAATGCTTGTCATTTTGTTATTTATTTCCTGGATGAAGTTATTTTATGACCAATATCTCTGTTACAAGTTCTTTCAATGTTGAATCTTGTCTTTCTTCAGTCTTATTCACTCTTTCCATTCATTCCTTAATCCCTGTTGTATTCTGGGGCCAGTCATTGATGACTTCCATTGTTTGGGCTCTGAGGTCTGATATTTAAGGTGTTTTCTCTTTGATACACTGGGAATTACTTGTGTTCTTCCATTGAATTTTTTCCTCATTTATGACTGATCTCTTTCTTTTCTCTTTAATTCTACAGTGGCAGTGGGAGAGACATTCACTTCTGATGTTTGCTCAACTCTCCATTCTTCCCTGATCAGGGCTCTGAATTTGTTTAATTTTGAAATAGGGCTGTGAGTGGGAAGCTTTGCTGTCTCTTGTAGTTTTGAGAGTTGAATAAGGTGGAGGATGGAGAACTAGGTTTCAGAAACGAGTTGCAAATCACAACAATTGTGGTATGGGCTCCCTGAGACTCACTGTTCACTACCACTCTATATGACAATGTAATGGGTACATGTGTGTACAACCCCCTAAGTCCGAGATACAGTAACAGCAATAAAGAGAACAGAGAAAAGTAGAATGACCTAAGATGGACAAAAATAAAATAAAATAAAAAACACAGAAAAACAAAAGCAGAAACCAAAGCAACACACACACACACACACACACACACACACACACAAAAACCAAAACAAACTGGAAATAAAAACAAAACAAAGCAAACAAAAAAGAAAAAAACTTTAAAACTGAACACACACACACATTCCCCCAAAAATATAAAAATGAAAAGAGAAGAAAAAAAGGAATTCAAATCAAACCCTCACAGATGCATTCATACACACATTAAACTGAAAACAGGGGAAGTCCAAAAAACAAACAAACAATCTAACAAAAACTGAAAGATGAACTCTCAATCATTCATGTACATACATAAACAGAAAACAAAATGTGAAAAAAATAAGAAAAAAAAGAAGAAAGAAAAAAGAAAAAGAAAAAAAAGGTGGTGGGGGAATGCAGCTTGAATCCTCATATACACATTCATGCACAAATAAAAACAAAAACATTTAAAAAACAAAGAAACAAACCCCCCAAACAAAAAACAACCTGGCCTCTTGTGGCAGGTCTTGTAACTGTTTCTCTCTGCTGTTCACAGGTAAGCCTCTCTGCTGTCTTCTGTGGAGCTGCGGTCTCATTTACATTCTCTTCAGTGTTCCACCTGGGGAAAGAGGATGAGGTGGTGTGGGTTGGTAGGGCTTCAGTCCTTCCCTCCTACTCCTGCATGGTCAGGGGGATCTTCTCAGTAGAGAGGTGCAGAATTGTCTCTTCCCCAAATCTTCCTCTCTGGCCAGGTTTATCCTGGAGTAGAGTCCACCTGTTGCAGCTGACGTCCAGACACTGCCTGGGTTCATCTCTCGCAGTCGTGCCCCAACTGTGGTTCTGATGCTCAGAGGATTGCTGGGAAGGAGAAGGCTGGGCCAAACCTGGACACACAGCTGGGATCTTCTTCATCCTTTTCTGGTCACACTCTCTGTCCCACAGCTGAATCAAGATAGGGGGTGGGGGTGCTTGAGACTCTGTACTTCTGTCCCTCCGGAGTTTGTGCTTTTGGGATATTCCCTCTGGGTCATGATCAACCCCGAGTAGCTAACCTGCCATCACAGAAATCATGTCTGTCAGTCTTTGGTGAGCAAGCTGGAGCACTTCCCTGCCCAGTTTTCAAGATGGTGGCAGGGTGCCTGTTTCTTCTCCTCTGGTGGGGCTCTGCCTCTGGGCTCTCTTGCTGTGCTCCTTCTGCAGCCCTTACTGCCAGTGTCCGGCCAGGAGCTGCCATGCTAAGGCAGGAGTCGACAGTCACTCTTGTCAGCTTCTTCCAGGAAGGACTTTGCTGATTTTTAGAAAATAACACTTGGCCCCTGTGCCCTGGGCAGTGTTAGGGTCCAAGCTGAGCAGCTGTGGCACCAGCCACTTCACCAGGAGAGTTCTGGTCACTTGCTCCCGAGTCCCCATTCAGCCAGTCACTCACATGTCCACTTACTCACAGACATGTACGCAAAATTTTCCATACACTTCCTCAATCACTGGGACTTGCATAGTCCAACTGGCTTCACTGCCATCTTCCCAGAAGTCCCTCGGTATTCAGATTTAAATTGCAAACATCTAGCAGCGAAAAAATGTAGGGCCCATATCTACTTTTATTTAATATGTACATATATATGTATTATTCCATTCATTAGAATGTTAGACACTACGTTATAATGTATTTAATCTATAAATATATTATAACTTAGTATATGAATACATATAATTTAGTTCATAAATAATAGTATATAAATGCATATAAATACATTATAACTAAATAGTACTTATCTCATTTATTGGATAGGCTATCCCATCAATTTAAAAATAAATGAGATAAAGTAGAGGTGAATAATATCCTCTCATGCCTAATTAGGATTGTTTTATGCTATTTTAAATTACTATGCCAAGAAACATTATATATGAGGTCATTGTTAATAATAATGAGACTAAGTCACATTCTCACTAGTCTTCTCACCAAATTTCAAATATTGTGACCAACTTCTTAAAATAATTATTCTTTCTACCTCCTAATGTGGCAGATGAAGATACCATATCAGAAAAAAGGGGGCTCAGTCAATTTCTTCAGTTCATTAACTCAACAAGTATTCATTCAGTGCCTGCTATGTGCTAGAACGTACACTCTGTGATGTACCAGCAGGATGCGCACTTTGTATTTATGGAACACACAAATGAATGAACTAGGCAATTTGCACGTGCTGGAGATAGTCTGGTGAGCTTCTGGTCCTGCTTTTCTGGTTTTGTTCCCGGCATGACCTTGCTTTCCTCTGGAAACTCCCACATCCGTACCAAGCTCCCACCTGTCTTCCCTTGTCCCCAGCCTGTAGCCCGGCACTGGATGGGATTTACTCTGACTGGCATCAGCCTCAGTGGCTGGGACCCTCCTTGTGGGACAGGGGTGACTCCAACTGTGCCTCCCAGTGAGTTGTCCACTAATGCCACCCCTCCAGAACTTGCTGTCCTGGAGCCTCTCTTGATAGTACTGCTGGGAAACAATGGTTAGTATTTGTGGAAAAAAATAAAGTGCTTTCTGAAAAGTGTGTTTTCATGTAGTTCCATATTTCAAATGGTAGCCAAATCAATGATCATATATTGAGTATGTATTTTAAAATTCCGTGCCATTCAAGATTTGTATATAAGCTATTGGCTCAACATGGAGAAGACACAGGAGAAAATTGGTCATAAACAGGTTAGTAACCTTGAAATGAACTTTTCCACAGCAAGTGTTAAAATGAACATTTTAAAGAATGAGCCAGGAGGCCGCCATGCCACAGGCGACCTGAGGACTCTAAGAAGTAAGGTAAACGTGGGGCAAAGCAGACAACTTGTGGTCTAAAAAAAAGGCATCGTTTTCTCAGCAGGTGAGAGCAAGATTTGGACAGGAAGGCATTTTTAGATTTTTATAAGAGAGTAATTTGAAAAATGGAGTGTCTTCATCTCAGCATGACATGGTATGAGCTCATTTCCAATCTCCTCTGTGATTTTAGCAGGGGATTAACTCCTACTGTGGCTGAGATGGTCTGGAGACACCTGTTATATTCAACTAAGTGCTTTCGCAGGCATTTAAGCATCGTCTCTGGAAGATTTAGAAATGTTTGGTTTTCAGATATCTAATATGAGCATCGGAAGGAGAAAGTGTCCATTCACTTTAGCAAAACTACTAAAATTGGCCCAGATGTTAGCTGGAAAGTCAGTGTCCTACAGAAATGATACAAAGGACAGATCTACATACCTGGGGGAGGTCCCACTATAGATTCCTCTGATCTCTAAGAATTTTCTTTGCCTATTGTCGTAGAACACAAAGCTGGAAAAGGTTACTTTTCAGGGGTGGAATCATAGGCATTGAGTTAGGGATAAACATCATAGGTTTTGGTTTCTAACAGACTTGTATGATTGTTAATGGTCTTACGTGGTAGGCAGGTCTATACAAATCTGCCCCCATAATCCAAGGAAGCTGAGAGGCCAAAGAAAGAGGCTGACATATCTAGTTTCTTAGAAAAAAAACATTTAATAGGGACTCATGAACAGAAGTTATGTCTGTGTCTCGGACAGCAGTGAGACAAGATGGTAGATCCCGGTACCATTAACCCCCCCGGTTCAGGGCTTATATGCCATAGAGAAGCAATGATTCAGAAGGGATGTGCAATCAAAGTTTTTATTTTATTTTTATTTTTTTTGCCTAAGGGTAGGATTTAAGGTAAATACCTGCTCTGACACAAAGAACAATAAATAAATTGGAAATCTTATAAGTCTTCCTGGAACTGGAGTTAATCAAAAGCCAACATGGCATACTAACATCCAAGACAGAGTTGCTTTGGCCTTCTCACAGGGCTAAATTAGCAAACGTTCGATATTTCATTCATTCAACAAATTGTATTAAGTACATTATGTACAGGGCATTATTTTAGGAAATAGCAGTGAACAAAACAAAAAGCATGACCTCATGGGGCTTCCATTTCAGTGTGAGAGCCAGATAATAAGCAGATAGAAAAGCAGAATAAGAGAATGGGGGCATATGTTATTGTTGAAACGCATCAAATAAGAGTCTTACTTGTAACCAATAGAAGCAAACTCGAACTGAGTAATCAGAAAAGGAATTGAGTGAAAAAAATCGGGTGCTTTACAGGATCATTGGGAGAGCTAGGCAACCAGACCCAAGGGTGGGTTTCTAAGAACAGTGCCTCGAAGGACACTGATCGGATACCTGATACCATCTGCTATCACCTCCATCACTGAGAATGATATGCCATAGCTTGCACTGCTGCCATTTCTGTGACAGAGACTCAAGTTTGCATTTTCTACTACTGCACTGCAGGCTCAAAGAGAAACAGAGCTTCTTGTCCTTTCTTCATGTGTTACCAGTTCATGAGTCTGGCTGCTAGTACCAGTGCCTGGGCATTGACAATTACTACTTCCCAGATTTGTTTCACAGATTTGTTTGAGTTATAGTTAATTAATAAATTCAGGAAAATCAACACATAAAAATCAGTTATATTTCTATGCACTAGCAATGAATAATCTGAAAAGGACATTAAGAAAGAAATTCCATTTAAAATGGCATCAAAAAGAATAAAATGCTTAGGAATAAATTTAATAAAGGAAGAAAACTGAAAACTATAAAAAACCACTAAAGGAAAGTTTTTTTTTTTTTTTTTTTGAGTTGGAGGCTCACTCTGTCGCCCAGACTGGAGTGCAGTGGCCGCTCCCAGCCACTGCAGCCTCGACCTGCTGGACTCTGGCGATCCTTCTGCCTCAGCCTTCCGAGTAGCCGGAATTACAGGCATGCGCTACCACGCCCGGCTGATTAAGGAAAGTTTTAAAGCCCTAAATAAATGAAAAGACAGTCTATATTCACGGATTAGAAGACTTAATATGATAATACTACCCAAAGTGATCTACAAATTTCATGTAATCACTATCAAAATACCAATGGATTTTTTTTTTTCAGAAATAGGAAAACTATCCTAAAATTTATATGGAATTTCAAGGAACTTCCAAATAGTCAAAACAAATGTGGAGGGCTCACATTTCTTGATTTAAAAACTTACTCCAAAACTATAGTAATCAAACGGTATGGTACTGGCAAAAAGACAGATACATACACTGACGGAACAGGTTAAAAATGTGTGGTCTAGTAACTTTCAACAAGGGTGCCAAGATTCATTCAATGGAAAAAGGACAGTTTTTCAACACACTGATCTAGAAAAAAATGAATGTCTCACGAAGGAATGAAATCGAACACATACCTTAAACCATATTCAGAAATTACCTCAAAATGAATCAAAGACTTACATGTAAGAATTAAAACTATAAAACTCTTGGAAGAAAACATAAAGAGAAATCTTTATGATTTTAGATTTGGTAAAATTTCTTAAATATGACACCAAAACAAAAGAAAAAAAATAGCTAAACTGGATTTCATTGAAATTAAAAACTTTTGTGCATCAAAGGAAACGATCAAGAAAGCAAAAAGACAATCTACAAAATGAGAAAATATTTTAAATCACATATATGTTATATATGATTTTATATAAATGACAATATATAATATATATGATTACAATCCAGAATATATAAAGAACTGCAACCCATCATCAGCAACAAAAAGGCAACCCAATTAAAAAATGGACAAAGGATTTGAATATAATTTTCTCCCAAGAAGACCTACAAATGGCCAATAAGCACATGAAAAGATGTTCAAAACCATTAATCATCAAGGAAATGTAGATTAAAACCACAATGAGATACTACTTCACACCCATTATGATGGCTATTATATGAATATATATAAAAAGGACAATAACAAGAGAGGATGTGGGGAAATTGGAACTCCCATACATTGCTGGTGGGAGTGGAAAATGGTGGAGCCAATGTAGAAAACAATTTGGCAGTTCCTAAAAAAGTTAAACAAAATTATCATATGATTCAACAATTTTACCCCTAAAGAATTGAAAACAGACACTCAGACAGATATTCCATATCAGTGTTCATACCAGCATTATTCACAATAATTGCAAGATAGAGATAACCAAGTGTCATCAATAGGAGAATGGATAAAGATAACATGGTATATACGTACAATGGAATATGATTCCATCATGCAAAAGAATGAAGTTTTGATACATGCTTCAGCATGGATGAACCTTGGAAACATTATGCTAAGTGAAATAAGCCAGACACAAAAGCACAAATATTGCATGTTTTCTCTTATGTCAGATGTGACAATTTAGTTTGAGAACTCATCCTAGAAAAAGTGCTACATACCTCATTACTGAATATCACTATGGTCACCTTTGAAGTGCTCCCCTTGAGAAGCTATGCACTGACACTAGTGCCTAGTCCACCTGTCAAAGTAGTTTTGGAACTCTTTTTCTGAAATGGCTATCCAAGCTGTCATTGTATTTCCCTGGATGTCCTAAATGCCATCAAATGTCTTCCCTTCAACATTCCTTTTATCTTTGGGTGAAGATGAAAGTCGCTGGGGGCCAGATCAGGTGAGTAGGGAAGGTGTACCAATACAGTTATTTGCTTACTGGCTAAAAGCTCCCTCACATAGAGTGCTGTGTGAGCTGGTGCATTGTTGTGATGCAAGAATTCCTTTGGGACCATTTTTAACACACTTTTCTCATGCTAAGATTTTCAGTTAAGATTTTCCTAACTGTTTCTCTATCAATGTTTATTTTGTTTACTATGCCTCTTACAGTCAGCCGGTGATTTTGACATGCAATTTGATGAATTTTTGCAGTGTTTTCATCACTTCTGCTTGTTACTGACCATACTAATCACTTTTCATCAATGACACTTTCTCTCCCCTCAGAAAACATTTAATCCATTTGCACACTACTATTTTCTTCATGGTATTATCCCCATAAACTTGGACTAACATGTCCCTGATTTCACTTTCACTCTTGCCAAGTTTAACAAGAAATTTTCTGTTTGTTCATTGTTTTAATTAAAACTCCAACATTCTTGTGATGACAGCTCTGATGGCCATTCCAGAAAAGGAGCTCCAAAACTGCTTTGATGGGTGGACTAGGAACTGGCATCAGTGTATAGCTTCCCAAGAGGAGTACTTGGGAGATGACCATAGTGATATTCAGCAATGAGATATGTAGCTCTTTTTCTAGGATGAGCTCATGAACTTAGTTGTCAGACCTTGTATACAGTGTGATGGTTAATTTTATGTGTCAACTTGACTGAGCTAAGGGATGACCAGATAGCTGGTAAAATATAATTTTGGGATTATGCCTGTGAGGATGTTTCTGGAAGAGGTGAATATTTGATTCAGACAGCTGAGTAAGGAAGATCTGCTCTCACCAATGTGTCTGGATATCATCCAATCTGTTTATTGGATGAGTCTGAGAAGTTGGAAAAGGTGAATTTGCTCTCTCTACTTGAACTGGCACATCATCTTCTCTTGCTGTTGGGCATTGGCTCTCTGATTCTCAGGCATTTGAATTTGGACTGAGAGTTACACCAGGGGCTCCCCTGGTTTTCAGGTCTTTGGGTTTGAACTGGAACTACACCACTGGCTTTCCTGGGCCTCCAGCTTACAGGCAGGAAATCACAAGACTTGTAATAAATCTCTATTTCTCTCTCTCTCGATACACACACACACACACACACACACACACACACACACCCTATTGGTTTTGTTTCTCTGGAGAACCCTTATATATGCACTATCTAGAATACTCAAATTCTTAAAGACAGAAAGTAGAATAGAGGTTACCAGGGGCTGGGGGTGTTATAGATTAATGGGTACAGATATTCTGCTTGGGATGAGAAAAATTCTGGAAA